GATAGGATGTAGCAACACTGTAGGAGGCATGTGGCACTGAATGTGGCCCGAGAAATAACGGAGACTCCCGTTATTCTGTTTAATGTCATTAGTCTTGGCTATAGCATTATATTTTGATACAGTACAGTCCACTAATCAGTATAATTTCAATGACTTCAAGCTGCTTGTGGTCATTAGTGAGAGGACTACTCTATTTTCAGACCAAGACGGTGCAGAGCCTTGTGCTAATTCGGTGGCCGTGGGAAATCTAGTGCGTCTGTTCGATTTCCTCGATAAAAAGGAATATAAGCAAAAGGCTGAGAAGATAATTCGAGCATGTTCTACCAGGCTGGCAAAGTTGGTGATTGTGTAGTGTTTGGATTCCTTTGTTACTGCAAAGTAATATTGAAGTGTAATCGCATTGTTTTCAGACACTCCTATATTTTGACAAAGATGATACCTAACTATCATCGAATGCTGAAGGGTTCCGCGAAGGTGAGTTAATGCGGTCGAAGTGAGATCCTCTTTGAGGGGAGGGCTTGTATCCTGGTTGGATACTGTAGTATTGGCCAGACTAGCTATCAGCACGTGAAAAATCCCGCGGTTGCTCTCCAATATTTACCTCTATACTTCTGAACTTGGTGCGTCGTGAGTTCAACATAAGGTGGGGCTAACTTGCACTAATTCGACTAGTGTTCAAAGGGAGGCCAAATATGCGTGGCAGTGGCGATTAGGGCACGTTCTGCCGCGAGGAAAAAATTCGCAAAATGCCACCCCGTTCAAAATTTACCGCTTCGCTTCAAGGGGGAGGGGAACACAGGGAAAACCTGGAAATGTGTAAAGCCAAAGCTCGATGACATTTTTCTCAATGGCAAATACGACTCTTCTTCCTTCAGCGGCCATACACGGCCCTTCTCGCTAGGTATCCCCAACGTACTATGTCTCGATGGCCACCTACCTATAAGGGGACTTGACCGCCTCGTGGGCAGACTATTTCTTAAAACCACCTACTTTTGCCCAACGTAAATGCCTACCACATGTTTGGGGCAGCGCGGAGACAGGCTTGCTGAATGTGAACTTAAATCCATAATATCCAAGTTGCCCTGTTAGCTGTCGTTCTTCTAGTATCACCCCACCCACTTGCGTCATGATCCGTGACTTTTGAAGATATGTTGAGGAACTTTTGCAGATTGTTGTTGTCGGCGAAGCGTCAAATGAACTGGTGAAGAGTTTCCGGGAGGAGATAAATACGCACTACATTTGGAATAGTTTGATTCTGTTTCTGGATCCCACTACTGGCAAGTATTTTCGGTAGCACTGTCATTACTGGATCTACCTTTTAGTGGTCAAATGTATTTCAGATAACTCTTTCCTTACTGAAAGAAGTGAAGTGTACGCGGATATGTTGAAGAGAGAGGAGCCCACTGTGTTCATTTGTGCCAATTTCACATGTGGTCCTCCAATAACATCTCTAGATGAGCTAAAAGCATCACTGAAGCAGCTAGTTGATCAAGAAAATTAATTCCGACGATTATCGGAATCTGACCAGAGGTGTCAAATAGGTCATTCAGTTCTACCTATATCTCGGGGCGTATAGCGCTTTTCTAGTCTTGCTGGTAATCATCTTCTCACTATTTTACCTTGCTGGCAAGTTTTGTTATCTGCTTAATTAGTTTACTAAAACATGTATTCAATTCGGTTGGCAAATTATCCAATAAACTTTCTAAATTGACTGATGCTTCTAGAAAGGAGTAATTTAATGTTTATGTTCTGTACAGTTAACAATAAAAATATATATCTTCTTTGCCCCATCCTGTCTTCAGACGTTTGTCGAGTCCTGAAATAGCATTACTGAAAATTTCAGTTGAAAAAACCTTTGTATATTTATTGGTTCTGCTGGGTGAAGGTTTTTTCTCACGAGGAATTTTGGCTATACTGTGACGGCATTAGTAAATCTATCATTGCGTAAAAGGAGTGTGCAGAGGTGGGGGAGGGAGTGGCGTTCACTCTCCACACGCGGTCACGTCCAGGACAATCTTAGGCAGCTGTTCCAGACTCGCGAACGGCCGCGCCTCCGGGGGTCGCGCGTCGCGCGATCCGGCTGCGATCGATGCGCATGCTTTCGACTGCATCGATCGCGTCGAACGCGCGACCGAAGCGCTGCCGTCGCGAAGTCTGAACGCTGCCTTATCGGTTAATATTTGCTATGAAGCCGCTAAGTCGTGAATGCTATGTCATATGAGGCTAAATGTGGCATTATTGAGCAGAAAGCGCTAGAGAAACGTTCGTCGGTGTAAGAGCTGGTTATCGCGGTTCTTAGTGGACATTTCGACTTTGCTCGAAATACCCTACCAGTAAAAAGCAAACTCATACCGCTCGCGTGGGAAATTAAGGGATAGAAGCTTGAAGTCTCCCGTTGGTGAATCCCTTTGTGGGATGCGGCACGCATTCTACTTCCATTCAGAATCGTAGTGGCTTATTGAATGCGATGTGGCCTATACAATGACTTGCGGGGCCAGCCGATGTACAAGTAAATGTTCTTATCCTCTGGTATCAATTCACTGTCCCCGGAGGGCAGAAGGCTTGGTTATCCTGGGCGGGAGTCGACCCAGGATTGAACCGAGGACCGCGCTATTGGTAAACCTGCCACTTGTCAATACTCCCCCTCCGGTGGTAGAGCTAACCATGCAATCAATGTAGTCTGACTCGGGTTCATTGTAAGAGACAGTGAAGCTGAGTACCTGCCGTGACCGGCGATCGTCGCCTGACTGGGTGAATGAATTCATCTTAATCTCATCGATGACGGCAGCTTCCACTGGTTCATCGTAAACCGTAATGCCATGTTGGTCTCGTAGCCGCATCACCTCAACGGAGGTGAAAGTTGGTAAACCATCACTAAAACGTAAATCGTCAATCGTTTACTCATATATGACCATTTTTGTTTTCTAGAAGAATGTACAGTGTTATAGCGTTGCAGCTAAGGCTACAATTCATTCGCTGGGAGGGGAGGTTGCGACATTCACTGTACGAAACGCTATTCGAAGATAAATAGTGCGCTCACCTCTGAGGGCTGCCATGTGCGAGGCGACCCTGGAGCTGCAGTGGCGTGTCACTTTCTCAGTTGGAAATTGCAAGTGGGAACGGGGTTGTGCAGTAGTGGTACCCCAGTGCCGCCTCTATACTCCGCCCGCGCACCGCTCAGGTTACGTCTGCCAAGGTTCTTTATCAAAACACGTACTGGCGCGG